TAAAGAAATGGTGGAAAAACAGTCAAATCACCCAAAGAGGGCTGTCTAAAGCCGGGCATACACTGAGCAATATTTTCAATCGTTGCACGCAGCTACAGCTCACACTGTACGAGGAAACTGCAGTGTTTCCTCGTACAGTGTGAGTTCACAGCTCACCATGTATGTTCTCACACTGTGCAGCATGACGTTCTGATGCAATCTACCTGCTCAAACTGCATGAATAAAAACCATGTAGGACTTAGCTGAAGTGAGAAGACACCACTCAGACTCGTCTCTCATTTGTGTGCTGAAAGCCCTAAGAAGAAAAGGCGGCCATGTATTCGGGCAAAGACATGGCTGAGCAAACGTGGCTACTACGGACTGTCAATTTTACAGAAAAAAACCCATGTCACTCTCACCCCCGCCATGCTTCTGTGTTTTTTGCTTAAGAAGAAGAAGAATCCTTGTTTGCGCACACCCACTGAGCGATTTGTCCACCACGGTCAACTGAAAATCAAACATGTTTAATTTTCTCCCAACCTCACAATTCCTGATCGGGAGATGGTCCTGGGGGGGTGATTGCCCCTCGTTACTCCCTGTACACTGCACGATGCACGATCAGCCCAATCGGAAAATTATCACACAACGGAAAAAAAATTGCAGAGTGTAAGCCCGGCTTAAAAGATGTATCGCAACAGCCCTGCATCTTAAAGGCTTGCATATACTGTAGCTATCTCAATAGGAGGATGCCTTCATGTACTCCAGGCCGACTCAATGTTTCCAGTAGACACATACAGTAAAAGCAGAGCTGGATTTTTTAAGGAGCCATAAGTGTAACGCTATAAACTGTTTGGAAAAAGGAAGTCCTCATATCTGACCAATTTAAATGGACATCAAGCGACTGAGCGCCATGAGGACGTGTAGCATCACGGCCACTCTCTGTAGTACACTGACAGGTGAGTTGGCTGCTTGGTGGAGAATAACTGGTGCCAGTGATGAACTAGCACATCGAACTTGATCATACATTCTTCTTCTGCAGCAGATACTGCAGGAAATGTAGGCATATATTTCACAAGTAATATAGAATTTGTTACAATCACCACCTTTACTTCTTCTCTCATGATGTAGTTTTTATCATTGGTTTTTCCAGCACTCAATAACAGCCACCTTTGATTAGTTCACATGANCTCAATAACAGCCACCTTTGATTAGTTCACATGATAATTGTTTCTGCACCAACTGGTACAGAACGCTACCAGTTTCTATAAGAAGAGAGATCAGATATCGGCCAGAAACTACAGCATGTGGATAAGGAATAAAAAGAGCCAAAAGATATTGATTCTAGATTAAATATAAGTGGCAGTGTATGAGCTATGCTATATTCTAGAGTCTGTATGTCTAATCTATTGCCACAATTGTTGTGATAGTAGCTTAGTCTGAATAGCTGGTTCCTGTCTTACCAGGCTGTTGGTCCTCAGCATGTCTGTCCTTGGTTTGACCCCCTCTGGTCATTTGCTGCTTTCCCTCCCATCCAGTTAATTTACCGCATAAAAAAGCCACTACTTCTGTGGAAAACATTACTATGAATCATGGCAATAATAAATGGAGGCAAACCATGATCCTAACTCTGACATGTTTCCCTGTCATTTTATTCACTCGTTATGGGGAACAATGTGGAGAAAGTTCTGGGTTTATTTTTCCAGTGGTGGAGGAAACCATGAGACTCTTTAGCCTACTTTTTTTTCTATTATTGATGTGTTTTTCAGTTTGGTTTGGTCCATTTTATACTATATTTGGTGTCTATATCTTGTTTCATCAGCCTGTTTCTCTTTTTTGCTCTCTGTACACCACAATCCATTTTCCCTGTTAATCATCTGCCTTTAGATAATAATTATTCCCTCTGTTTATGGTCTTGCAGATTTTTTCAAATCATAAAAAGATCCTTGTTCTAGTTTACACTATACAGTCACAGACGTGACACAGTGTAAAACTTAACTCATATCTTACAGTTCCTCGTGTCTCACTGTCATCTGATGGTTTATTAGATGATCAAAATGAGATGGAATCAATATCAAAAGTTCAATAAATGTTTCATCTATTTGCTATTTGTTCATATTTAGGTCCATTACCTACCAACATGCATTCCTTCTTGGACTGTATGCGAACCTAGATTTGAAAAAGCCTCACATTTCTAAATATTAATACTGGAACTTTTACAAATTAAAAATCACCCAAAAAAACAACAACCTTTGTATTCCTTTAATCTAATACAAGCAAGATAATACTTAGAGAGATGGTATTTATTTATTATTTATATCTTAAATATTCATCTTCAAAATCTATATTCATAACTTCCATATCTACCATACAAGGTTTCAACACCTTTAAAGTAAAGGGTGGGTTGTGAACTTTAGACCTCAGGTTCTGATAGAAGGATGTAAGCATTTAATACATAAGCTTCATAGAGAACTGTCCTGACATCTTTATTTAGAAGCAAACCAGATTATTTGAACCTGGGGTTAGGGTTAAGATAATGGCTCGTTTATGAGAGGACAGCTTAATACCTTAGGTTTTAAAAACGTGTTGCTTTAATCAAATTTGGACTGTATGTTGTGACCTTTGACATGCTTCACTCGTTGTGTCTAACCAGTCTGGAGTCGAACTTAGAGAAGGAAAGATAGTTGAAAACCTTTAAACAGCCTTTCTACTCCTTTAAATACATCAAGTCCAACCCATCTTTTATCATAATTTGCCATTTTAAATGTAGATATCTAAACCTAGTTGCACCTAAACAGGGCTAGCAGATTTTTCAGTTAGATGTCTCTCACACATTTCTCTTTCAACAAAGAAAATGATCAAGTGTGTAAAGTGCCTAAATGGTGATCTCTTCTGTTCCTCACCTTCATCTGTTCGAAGAGGCTCGTGAATTATCTTCAGGTAGCATTCAAACTGGGCTGCCAAGATGTCCCGTCTGGCATTTCCATACCTGGACGCTACGTCATTGGCTTCAAAATGCGCCTCTGTTGGGTTCTCAGTCGTATCAAGTGAGGCTTCTTCCTGAGGAAGGGAAACCTGGGTAGTATAGCAAAAAACACTGTCATGATCTTGGTTCTGATGACTGGCTTTATTACTAACTCCATTCACTTGTCTAACTCTGCCTGGTTTCTCATCATGGCTCATCTGATCCACCTGCTCCAGCCTCTATTTAAGGTGTTTGCATCCAGTCATCAGGGCCAGATTATTCTTGTTCTCACTAGCCAGTGGTAAGAGTGTTTTTTGGGTTACTTGTCGTTTTTGATTCCCTGATCCTGACCTGTTCTGCCTTGCAACCACTGAGCCTGCCTGTTCTCATCTGAACGGTTTGCCTTTAAGACCTTTGAACTCCTGGACCTCTGATCCTGTTCTGATCTGTTTGCCTGGCCTGGCTTCAGAGAAGGTTTTTTAAACACCTTTAGGTTGAGACTCAAATTGTTTGGGTTTGTTGGTTTTATGGAGGGAGACCCCTCTGGACGTCATTGTTCATCTCATGGGAAGCATGCCCCATTGTCAGTCATGCGTATAAGAACCATCAGGCCATACAAAACTACTGTCTACATTTAAGCAAACTAAACTAGCATGTTCCTCAGTTTCACTTTTCTTTTTCTGTAACCTCGGATTAAACCCTCTGCAACTTAATTTTTTTATTAAATTATGTGATTTTCTTCTAACATAACATACTTCATTGAAGAATATCCACTAAAATCTCTCAACTGTAATCCAATTTTTTCAGCAATGTCACAGTTTGTTTTCAGCAAACTCACCTCTGTTCCCAGCGCCAAGGCAGCTACAAGTGAGAGTGTGAGGCTCATCCACATGTCTCTAAAGGAGAAGAACAAATACATCTATTAAAAATCAGCATATTGAGCAAAAGCTTTTTTAATAACAAAATGAAGAAAATATTTTTTTTCTCTAATAAAAAAAAAAAAACGATAGACAAAATTGGGGTAAACATGGTGGATTCTACCAGATATTGTGGTAGCATCCATCTGTTATGCTGATTGTAGTTTATTTGACTCGCATGCAGAATCACATGGAGAACCAGTGAGTTTTATTTACAAAGCAACAAACATCTGGAAGCGGATAACTGCAGGAAGTCAGTTGAACTTTTTGGTTGGTCTGAGGGGAGAAAGCATGCTGATCAGGAAGCAGTTGGTTGATGACAACTGATGACAGGGAGGTGCCGTGGATCTGTAGGGGTTTGGTTCAGCGGACTTTGAATGCTCTATCCCAGAGGTCCAGGAGAATGTGAGATCCGATGAAAACTGAGGTTCACTTGTTCTCTGGGACAATAACAGTCCCTAGAAGCCACATTTCAACAAGAAAGATATTCCTGGTTTGGGTCTTTGGCTGGAATACCATCAGGGATAATCATCTGGCCAGGGGAGATAATGCCTGCTTAAATACATGCGAGTCATCTTGATTGAGAAATGTTCTTAGGTGTGCAGCAACACGGGTCGGTCCAGCCCAGTCTCTGTGACAAGAATCTTGCTCGCACCAGAAAAAAAGTAAAACCCCAGAGATCCTAACACCATCCAGTGACTTGTTTTAAAGCTAACATTGCAGTTACTTTATTTACATTACATGCATTTTCTCATCTATGAAGACAGGAAGTTCATGCTCCCGCAATCATTCCTCTCCACTGTCCCCTCAGGGTCACAGAAACAGATGTGTGTTTATTATTATTACTGGGCAAAAGGGCAGCAAATTCCCTTAAAGGGTTTCAGCATTAATGAGCTGACTACTCAGCCGGGTCTATTAAACCTACGTGCAGCTTGTGGCGTACAGTCAGTGTAAACAGGATTTCTCTGTCAGCTCCTTATGATTTAACTGTAAACAACAAAAAGTACTTTAGTTATGACATTGTAAGTAATCTTCCTGTGTGGTATATTTTGCTGAAATATTAACCAAAGGTTTAATCTACTCAAAAAAGAAAAAAAAAAAAGAAAATTGAGATTACAATAAAGCTACATTCAGATTGTTTATTGTTCTTCAGGCATTAGGGTTGTTAAAACATATAGTAAAGATTGCCATGTGTATTTTTTCGTATTTTTTAACTGATTATTAACACAGATTCAAACATCTATGTATTATCACTAATATTATCACAAATGAAATGAAGGAATGAATAGAAAAATAAAATGGAGAGAAAATAAATAGTTGCAGAAACAACCTCAGCATGTGCTGCAGTTGTCCTGTACTCAGAAAGTAGAACATTATGCATGTCTACCTGCTGAGTGTTTCTGAAACACCATATGTTCTAAGGGAATACAATCAGTGAATTTCAAATATTACTGATCAGAATTAGCTTTACTTGCCAAGTTCCTTGTGCAAATACAAGGAATTTGACTTTGGTTTTAATAATTTGTATCATACTCAACAGTACAAACGGCAGTTACCCCATGTAAACACACACCTAAAAAGGCTTACGAAGAAGAAAAATCTGGATTGTAGTAGTACCGGTATGTCCTTTTTGTTGTTCCTATCATGACTAAAGAAGATGACCAGTTGTAGTAGAACAATAGTCTTAGCTGGTCAGACAGAGTCTCTGGCTGTTAGGTGTTCATTGAACTAAACAGAGACAGCCTGGGGAGAGTCTCTGTTTTGGTTTGTTTTTGCCTCTAGCACTCTCATTGCCTCCCAATGTCAATATCCATTAAATTAGCTTATCAGATTCAGTATCTGAAAACCAGTGCAAGGGATATAGGAGCATGGTGAGGTGGAAATATTAACAAGCTGCTATTATGAGACTGAGCTAGCAAGCAAGGTTGCCCCAAACCTTAGTTGGTGTAGAGGCAGTACTAGAAAAGCATATAACATCATAAGTGCCGACCATTTAAGGTCTTTTAAGGGAGAAATAAGACGGAAGTTATGGGATTTTACCACTAAAATCCATGTAGGTTCCAGGGAAGCACCTGGTCAGTTATGGAACAAAAAATTTAAACGAATAGAAAAGTAATTTGTAATCTATGCGTTAAGCTGGGCATACACTGTACGATTTTTTGCCCTTGTCGCGCCGATTTTCCAGTCCTGCGTGAATTTCTCGATCGAGCCAAGTTTCTACCTGATGGTGCATTGTGCGCCATGTAGTATACAGGGGTAATGACGGGGCGATTAGCCTCTAACGACTACCTCCCGATCAGGAATCATAAGGTCGGGAGAAAATCAAACATGTTTGAAATTCAGTCGGCGGCACAGTGTGAGAATAATGAGCTTTAGCTGCATGCAACGATTGTACTGTCAGAAAAACGTTCTTGTAAAGTTAAACACTTAAATAACTGGTAAATGTAAGGGGAAAAAACACACATTAAGTTATAACAGTAACCTTAAAGTTTCATGAAGGCACCTAGTAAATTATGATACAGTTACCTTTAATAAACAATTGATTTTATGCCTGAGCCTGACCCTAAACATGTGTTGAGGACTACTACTTCAGTTGTTACCTTATCAGGAAAGTACCTGGTAAGTAATGGTAAACTTAATCAGGCAAAAAAAAAAAAAAAAAAAAGTAATGGTAAACTTAATCAGGCAAAAAAAAAAAAAAAGAAACTTGCAAGTTATGGTAAAGCAACTTTAGGTTATAAGAAAAATACTTGGTAAATACAAATGTTAGTGTTAGGAAAGTACAGAGTAATTTGTTTAAGTACCTGGTAAGTTCTGGAAAGTTACCACGAACTTATGTTAAAGTTGATATTTTGGAAAGCTACAATAATAATATATAGCCCTGAAAGTTAAAAACTACAGGAATTCCAGAAAGATATGGACTGTAATATGTTGCATCATCTTAGAGGAAATAAAAGTTTTATAAAATGTCCACTAAACATCAGCACACTTTGCATCCTCTGCTCATTTTCTAAGAAATGAAAATGGAATCCCTTGTATTCAGTTGGAATAAAAATGAGTTGGAAAAAAAAACAACGTTTAGCATGATATGAAATGAAAAAAATAACCGTAAGCAATTTCAACATTTAAGTAGAAGATAGAATTAATTGCATTTGCTTGTATAACTTAATTAATGTTAGTTCAATGAAAACCTTTCTCAGTGCAGATAAACTCATGAAACAAATGGTAGGTAGTTGATTTCATGCTGTTAATTGGCTGTTTATCCTCAGTGTTCTCAAGGTTACAATATAAAGAACAAACAAACAGCTGGATTAACAGCCAGACAGTAAATAAGCTACTTCATGCTCAGTGGGTTTCATGCCAGAAGGGGATTTAACTGCTTCCAGACACAAATATTTTAAAAAGCACTGAATCTTTTGTGGTTTCATTAAAATATATCAATATAGATTTATCACAATAGCCATCATCTATGTAAAAAGTGAGGATAAATAAAAAGAATGTTTAAACTAAATCAACAATAAAACTGCAGAAAAAATACAATTCACAAAGAAATTAAACAAAATTAGAGCTGCCAAGCCATTTGACACAAAACAATGGTTTTAAAAGCTGTACAATGATCTGTTTTCCCCCTGAACTGAGTTCGACTCTCTTTCACTGTGATCCTGACACGAACATTAACACAAACGTTATGATTATCAGCTCCATTCATCAAGAACCCAACAATGAGCGGCTTTCAATGTTACGCAAACGGTGACATCTACCAATTGTTAAGACAATGTAAACCAAAGCACCAACACTCTAACATATTGTTGTAATTTGGCAGCTATCGCTCAAAGCTAATGTCACCAATAAATGCTGCGTGCAATCAATCTGTAAACTGACAATGGGTCACGTGGATTATCATTGTTTCACAATTTCAAAAGCTTTTGTTTTTTTCTTTTTTGTTTTTTCTTCCTTAGAACAAATAATCTATCACATATAATTAAAGAAAAATCATTGACGACAAAATTTGATGGAGAAATGTTGTATATTAGACAACAGCTGTCACCAAAAAGCATTTCTATTCATAAAAAAATACTGGTTCAGTCATAACTTTGTCCTGACAGAAGTGTTATGAACAATAAGTAAGATAGTTTATTAGCATATTTATGTTTTATCACATTACAGTCAACTAATCGTAACCAAATCTATCACAACTTTTATGGAGTTCAGCTCAAACACCTTTTGTTTGGATTTTGTATTCTGCAGGATACTTGGGCTCACAAATACAATATAATCAAATTTGAAAACATTAATTCAACATGTACCTACAATATTAGGATATTAGACAATTAAATGTATGTCAAAAATATTTTTATTTACATTTTGAGATGGAATGTGAAAATGCTAGTTCACAATATAGAAAATGACAGCAAAAGCACATTACCTTTGTGGGTAACCATGGAGCTCCATTAATGGAAAAAAAAGTAAGTTGAATATTGTTTGTTCTGACTAGAATAGCCTCCTAAAATGTCTAAAAAAACCAGAGAGGTATTATGGTTGTAACTCTACCCTTCGCTTATTTTTTTTACTTTCATGTTATTTAGTTAGCTGTCTGCTTTTAATTCTGCTCATTTTTCTTTTAAAAGTCCTCTGACTGCTTAACTACAGTCAAAATATACCTTTCAGTCCAGAATTAACAAAACGTTTAAAAGAGGTGCTTACATGTGAGATCAGGCCTTTAGTCTCCAGAACGAAACCTGGAGTTTATTCATGAATTTTTGTTAAGGTGCGTTCAAACCGATAGGAAATTAGAAAAAATGCCAGTTTCATGCATTTTTGCTCACCTGAGATTTCAGCAGTAATGTAGCTGGCAAGCAAAAGTAATTCCCACAGCTTGGGAAAGAAAGGCTGCACTACATCAATGAGTCAAGCTGGCAGTCAAGTTCACCTTAAGATGGCAGATAGGGATTTTACAGAGCGAGTCATGGTACTATAGT